CCCGCACGGCCCCCGAGCCGAGCCCACCTCTCGCCGCAGGGCCTGGCCTTGACGCCCCAGCCCGGACCCTTCCTGCGCTTCCACTTTCAGAGAGGCTTGGTCACGAGATCCACTTGCCCTTAAAAAACCAGACCGAGACTTTTTTTTTCTTTTTTTCTCCATTTTCGTTTTTGCTCTTGCCCCAGACTGAATTTCTACCCGCAGACGGGGACCCTGGGGTAGAGGTGCGTTTTAAGCGAGCCTCGCCGGTAGCTCAGTGCTGTCTCCTGCGCCAGGATGCCCCAGCGTGGAGCGCTCCTAGCGGAACTCGGCGCCGGCTCCCGGGCGCGCTCTGCGGGGCGCACGGCCCCAGGCTTTCCGTCCCATCTTTCTCTGTCCCATACTCCTCTTCTGACCCCCAGTTCACCTCTTCCCCCGGCCCCAGAATGCGACTTGTGTTTTGAGTATTTCTCTTTCATATCCTCCATACCCCCCATCCCCAACACGCGCGCGCGCACACACACGATGCCCGTGCGAAGGTGGTTTTCCACTTTCCCCCCCGCGTTTCTCAGGTCTTCTTCCCCTCACACAGGACGGAGTCGGCCCCAGCGCTGACCCCTTAGGCCTCCCGTTTCTTGTCCGTGCCTTGGGCACAGGAGAATTCCATGTTTCATCCCGTGTTCACGTGACCTCCGGGTTCTGTGCTTCCTCTCCAGTCGCAAGGCAAGAAACCACCCTCATTTCGGGGAGACACGGAATCCCACAGTAGCTTGTGAGGGACTGATTCGGGACTGGGATGCGGGGAAAAGCTTCCTGGAGGAGACTCAGCACCAGACGCGGGCCCCTTGTGGACACGTCTCCATACGTGAGCTGCAGGTGTGGCAGGATAACACAAAGTGCTGGAACACACTGCTGTCCCACTTGCGAGACCAAAAACTTCCTTTAAAAATAAAATTCAGAGATTTCCTTATGAAACAAATTCAGCCACTTTGTGTCATCCTGCCGCACCTGCACTTCAGGCACGGAGACGTGTCCACAAGGAGCCTGTGTCTGGTGCTGAGTCTCCTCCAGGAAACTTTTCCTGGCATCCCAGTCCCCAGTTAGTCCCTCACAGGCTACGGTGGGATTCGGTGTCTCCCCCAGTTTTTCTGCAGCGGGTTCATATTAAAAATCTCGAGGGTGGATTATGGCTTTGCCATCCCTCCTGTTCCCCACGGTGAGATGCACATAGCTCACTGTGCTGTGCCAGACGACACACACGTCACACCGTCACCCTCAGCGAACGATGCAGGATCCTTAAGGGACCAGCCAACATTTTGCAGACCAGGAAACTGACTCCGGAAGAGGACAGGACTCATCCAGAGGTGGCGGCCAACAAGCCTAGAACTTGTCTTTGGAGCTTTTGCTGCATTTGATTGCACTCCTCATTTCTCTTGAGCTCTGGCCTCAGAGGGCTGCGTTTCTGCACTCCACCACATGCTCTGCATGGAGTTGGCGGAAGCAGCTATGGCGAGGGCGCAGGAGGGAGGTAGGAACTCCAGGAGTCCCTCCTCAAGTACTGCTGACCTGCGGAGGAGTGAGGGGAGGGAGACCCCAGGCCTGCACGCACGCCACACTGTGCCGGCCAGCTCAGCTGCCCGGTGTTGGGGCAAATAGCTTCTCAGCCCTCACCAGTGTCTTACTGGGTGAAGTGCATTGCAGGCCCTGACTCCATAGGCTGTCCTGGCCTCACAGGGGTGCGCCCTCTGTGCCCTTCCAGTGGGCTCAGGTGTAGGGAGGGGTGTGGGGTGTTTCGCAGATTTGTTAGGAGAGGATGGAATTGTCCACCGAGAAGGGATGAGAATGACCCACATCCTCTTTATGTAGAAGGGTGAGAAGATACTTCAAAACTCCAACAGAAAGATGTGTTTGATTAGAGCTGCGACGTTTCTGTGTCGTTTTTCTTCACATTGGTCAAAGGTGCGTATGAAACTTAAAAGCAAAGCTTCTCATAGGGTACACAACTGGCCCAGGAAGAGCCCTTGCTCCCAGCGGGCCATCAGGTGTCCTGGCATTTGCTTCTGGTGTGAATTAGTCATTTGTTCATAGAGCCTCCCAAATTAGCAAATGCTGAAGAAGTTCCTGCTCTGGACTAGCTTGTTCCTGTGTCCTCTGAGCGTGTATGTGTGAGTGAGGGTGAGTGGTTGTGTGTGTGTCCGTGTCTGGCAGGCTCTGCGGCCCTGCCGTGGTTGTGGAGTCAGGTGGACGGGCAGCACTAGAGCCTGGGGTTTCAAAGACTGGCGGCCCAGTGTGGCTGCCTGGGGCAGGGTACCCTGAGCTGAGCTTGAGGAGAGCTCCCTCAAAGGGGCCTGGAGTGGTCACAGCTGTCTGTCTGCTGAGGCTCCCGGTAGCGGCATCTGAGTGTGTGTGGTCAGGGAGGTCAGAGGGTGATTGAGTAACTGGCAGTACCTCCTAGCCCTTGGAGGATCTTGAGGCCTGCTGTTATAGAGAAACTTCCAATGCCCCGTTTTCTAGAGGCAGTTTGGGGCTCTGTGTTAGAGAGAGGAGTTTAGAGACCTGCTGCAGATGGGGTTTGTAAGATCTTCGGCGGGGAGGGTAAGGAGGAATTCCTCCTCCCTGCATCCCTCCACCCCTGCCTCTGCTCCTCAGGAGGAATAAGGGATTTGAGAAGATGGCCAGTTCAGGCAGCCCAGCGAGCAGTTACAGCAAGAAGCTTAGTCCGGGTCCGGTCGGGTGGGAGGTTTGTTCTCAGGTCTGCCCAGCGTCGGACTTCCTGGCTTCCTCTGATGGCTTCTGCCTGAGTGCTTCCCCAGGAAAGGCCGGGCTACTCCTATGAGAGCCACGTCTCGTTTCTAGCCCTAGCGAATGGCTTCCGTTTGCTTGGTGGGAGTGGGGTAGAGTCCACCTGAGCAGCACACCCAGGAGCTGGGCAGGGCTGGGCCGCTCCTGGGGCCGCCCTCTCCCTGCACTGCGTGCTAGCACTTGTGTGGCTTCTCTCAGTAGCACTCGCATTTCAGCTGGAGCGTCCCAGTGAGGATAGAGTCGTGAGGATGCCAGTTGTGTCCCGGGAGTGCCCCATCACTTTCCTCTCTCTTCCCTCTGCTTTCCAGCCCCTGAAGTGCTGTGCCTGGAGATACCATCGTGGACCCTGGAGAGGCACCCTGCAGCTTATGCGGTAAAACCTCGACCACCCCAGACCTGGTCAGTTTGAGGGGAGCTGCTACCACAGTATCCACTGAGGCCGGGGTTCCGGTCGTGTGGAGCAGCAGAGGGGAGTCTCGACAAGGTCACCTCCTCCACAGAGAGAACTGGCAGCTGACTGCACTGCCAGGAGCCAAGGCTTGGGTGTGTGGAGCCTGGAAGACCAGGGACACCTGAGGCAGGAGGTGCAGCGTGTGGAGTGGGGAACCCGAGACGGACTGGGGCCTGTGCTCAGGATCAGGCAGGCAGAGTGGAGAGGGAGAGACGGAGCCCTGGAAGGGGAGCAGGAGGAGGGGGAGTAGTGGCAGCAGCCCAGGCCAGGCGTGTGTCCTGCAAGTGCTAGGACCAGCTACCCCTCCCCATGGCCTCCAAGCCGGCTGCCGGGAAGAGCGGAGGGGAGAAGCGGAAGAGGGTGGTGCTGACGCTGAAGGAGAAGATTGACATCTGTACGCGCCTGGAGAAGGGCGAGAGCCGGAAGGCACTGATGCAGGAGTACAACGTGGGCATGTCCACCCTCTACGACATCAGGGCCCACAAGGCACAGCTGCTTCGGTTCTTCGCCAGCTCGGACTCCAACAAGGCACTGGAGCAGCGGCGCACGCTGCACACGCCCAAGCTGGAGCACCTGGACCGCGTCCTGTACGAGTGGTTCCTGGGGAAGCGCTCCGAGGGCGTCCCCGTGTCAGGCCCCATGCTCATCGAGAAGGCCAAGGACTTCTACGAGCAGATGCAGCTCACTGAGCCCTGTGTGTTCTCTGGAGGGTGGCTTTGGCGCTTTAAGGCCAGACACGGCATTAAAAAGCTAGATGCATCCAGTGAGAAGCAGGCAGCCGACCACCAGGCCGCGGAGCAGTTCTGTGGGTTTTTCAGGAGCTTGGCTGCCGAGCACGGGCTGTCCCCCGAGCAGGTTTACAATGCTGATGAGACCGGCCTTTTCTGGCGGTGCCTGCCAAATCCCACTCCAGAAGGCGGGGCCGTGCCTGGCCTCAAGCAGAGCAAGGACCGGCTGACCGTGCTGATGTGTGCCAACGCCACAGGCTCCCACAGGCTCAAGCCCTTGGCCATCGGGAAATGCAGCGGCCCCAGGGCTTTCAAAGGCATCCAGCACCTGCCTGTCGCCTATAAGGCCCAGGGGAGTGCCTGGGTGGACAAGGAGATTTTTTCCGATTGGTTCCATCATATCTTTGTGCCCTCGGTGAGAGAGCACTTCAGAACCATAGGTTTGCCGGAAGACAGCAAGGCCGTTCTCTTGCTGGACAGCTCCCGGGCTCACCCGCAGGAGGCCGAGCTGGTGTCCAGTAATGTTTTCACCATCTTCCTGCCTGCCAGCGTGGCCTCATTGGTGCAGCCCATGGAGCAGGGCATTCGGAGAGACTTCATGAGGAACTTCATTAACCCTCCGACCCCCCTCCAGGGCCCTCACGCCCGCTACAATATGAATGATGCCATATTCAGCATGGCCTGTGCCTGGAATGCAATTCCCAGTCACGTCTTCAGGCGGGCCTGGAGGAAGCTGTGGCCATCAGTTGTGTTTGCTGAAGGCTCCTCCTCTGAGGAGGAGGTGGAGGCAGAGCACTTCCAAGCGAAGCCCCACAACACATCCTTTGCGCACATCCTGGAGCTTGTGAAGGAAGGCTCCTCCTGCCCGGGCCAGCTTCGCCAGCGCCAGGCCGCCGGCTGGGGTGTAGCAGGAAGGGAGGCAGAAGGGGGACAACCCCCTGCTGCCACGTTGCCAGCAGAGGTTGTGTGGGGTTCAGAAAAGACTCCGAAAGCTGACCAAGACGGTGGAGGAGATCCTGGTGAGGGTGAGGAGGCGGCCTGGGAGCAGGCAGCCGTGGCCTTCGACGCAGTCCTGCGCTTTGCGGAGCGGCAGCCGTGCTTCAGTGCACAGGAAGTGGGGCAGCTGCGAGCGCTGCGCGCCGTGTTCCGGAGCCAGCAGCAGGTGAGGAGGAGGCGTGGCGCCCTTGGGGCTGTGGTCAAGGTTGAAGCCCTCCAGGAGGGCCCTGGTGGCTGTGGGGCCACGGCTCACTCTCCCTTGCCCTGCTCATCCACAACAGGTGACAACTGATGGCTTCTCTGCCCTGCCCTGGCCACTGGCCCTGTTTCTCCACGCACCCTGGAGTGGCATGGTCCTGTGCCCCGACCCCACCTGAGGCAGGAGGGCATGTGCAGACACTCAAGAGCCCTTCCAGGAGCGGGTCGCCCACGGTGTGGCTCGGGTGCTCAGGACAGTGTGTGCCCGAGGTTCCTGTCAATACAGGTTTTATCACTTGCCATGTCATCCGAAAGTGAGGAAATGTTTTGGAAGGGTCCACCCTAGCCTAGAACAAGCCAGAGCCTCACTCTGGCTGGAATGGGGGCCAGGCTGGGCTGATCTGGCCTCGTGTTCGCTGGCTGATCATTGCAGTATCAGAGGCTCTGGCTGGAATGGGGGCCAGGCTGGGCTGATCTGGCCTCGTGTTCGCTGGCTGATCATTGCAGTATCAGAGGCTCTGGCTGGAATGGGGGCCAGGCTGGGCTGATCTGGCCTCGTGTTCGCTGGCTGATCATTGCAGTATCAGAGGGTGGAGATGTCTGTCTGTCCATGTGGAGAGAAGTTGCCCTCCAGGCCGACAGGAGGCCATGCCCACCGCCCCTGGACAAGCTTCGTCTCAGAAGGCTCTATCTGCTGGGCTGGCGGCCATCCCCTTGTTGGGTGGACCCCGGCAAGGTGCCTGAGGGCCGATGGCCGAGAGCTAGGACTCAGTTCTTGGCCTGCTCTCGGCTGAAGAGGGCGCACGTCTCACTTCAGTCGTGGCCTCGTTCAGCAGAATGACTGGAACCATCCTCTGTTACCCGCAGATCCCATCCCATGGGCTCTGGCCCCAGGATGTGGGGGGCCCCACGGAGAGTTGACTTGGTAGAGTTTCTTTCCGTGAAGAAAGTAGGAGTGGCTGACCAGGCCCTGCTCATCACCCGGATACAGGACACAGACCCTGCGTGGTATTTTGGCATTTTGGCTCAGAGTGCAATGTGCCATGTTGCCCGGAATTTCATACTTACGGCCTTTACATGAATACATCTTGATCAGACGTTCAGAGATTAGTCTTAGGTTTGCACGTAAGTCACTGGAAACAGTAAAACAGGTTGCTTAGATTTCCAGCAATTATATTTGTGCTCTTATCCCCAGCTGTTAGCACGTTAGTAATACCTTGGGGGAGGAGTTGTCTGTCCTGGTCAGTGTTCACAGACGCGGTTGTAAGAGGATGTGGTGATTTTCTCCACGTCTGTAGCTGCTTTGCAGCATCTGCATTTCACGGGCAGCACTCGCTTCCTGCAGCTGAAATTCCAGAATGCCCTGTGTCCACAGTGATTAGCCTCGTCTTTGAGCGAGCATGAAATAGGTGCATTGTTCTTTTTTTTCATTCTTGAGGCAGGGTCTCACTCTGTTGACCAGGCTGGAGTGAAGTGGTATGATCACAGCTCACTGCAGCCTCGACCTCCCTGGCTTGAGTGATCCTCCCACCCCAGCCTCCTGAGTACCTGGGACTAGAGGCGTGCACCGTGACGCCTACCTTTTAATTTTTTTGTAGAGACAGTCTCACTGTGTTGCCGAGGCTAGTCTTGAACTCTTGGCCTCAAGCGATCCTCCCTCCTCAGCCTCCCACAGTGCTGGGATTACAGGCGTGAGCCCCAGCACTCGGCCTAAATGGGTTTTTCTTGCTATGTTATTTTCAGTGCTTTGCTCTTGAATTCTTTTCCCCTCTTAAATTTGTATCATTTGGCTGAGTCAGCACGTAGTTTGCATTCCAGCGTCTGCTGTTGATTCCACTGAAACCTTTGTTCTCATGAGGGAGAGGATTTGGCTCGCTGTGGTTTCTTGTATTTTCACATCTCTGCCGATACAGGGGCAAAAGTCATTGCTGACAGAGCCCTGCCTGTCTCCTGGGAGTGTGTGTTTCTTGCTTTGAATGCATGTGTGATGGTTATAAAAGCCAAATAGTTTCTAAAGATCTCGGTGCTGAATGACAGTCCCAGTTGTTCCCATTTGGGTCCCGTTGCCTTCGTGGTGTCACCCCACTGTTTGCTTCCTGTGTCTGGGGAACTTCTGCACATCCGTGTACTTCGTGCCATTTCTGGGCTCACGTGTCACTCCTAGCAGAGCCTCATAACCAAGATTGCTGGATTGCGGCTGCTTGAGGCAACGCAGGAGGTTAGAACATGTCTCGAGGGCTCTGAAGCAGCAGGACATCCTGGGTGGGTGGAGCTGAGGAGGGCACGGGGCAGGCCTGCCGAGCTCCTGGCTGGCTCTCCTGAATCCTCTGGAGATGGCTTGTCCCTGTCAGACTGTAGCTCTTCAGGACCTGAGCTCTTCCCGCTCTTGACCTGCTTCTGTGCTGACTGTGCTGGGCTCATGGGTAGACATTTGTCCCCAGTGAGTGGCTGTGTCCTCAGGGTGCCCCTCTTTGAGACTAACTGCAACAAGGCTTGGAACCTGACTCTAGGCACAGCCCCTGTGGCTGGAATCCCTTGTGCCACCCAGGGGACTTGGGCCCTGCTCCTCCTGCAGTCCCTCCTCACCTGGGCTCGCTGCTGCGGGTCTCCCTGGAGTGAGGTTTTTAGGGAGCCCAGAGCTTACTCATCTCTGCGCTGCTGGGCCCAGCTGCCTGCTGCGTACTTCCTGCCTCCATCCTGTCCCCCGGAACGCTTTGTGGAGACTGCTGTTTCCTCCGAACACTTTGTTTTCACTTCCTGACCAGTCTCAGAAGCTCAAGTGGTGGAATGTTTTAGCCTCAGAATCTTGTTCCCCAAGCCCTCTCAGGTGGATCCCCGCTGCACCAGACACCACAGCACAGCCCTGTGAGGCTGTGTCTCCTCACTCCGTTTCTGGGGCTGCTGAGGCCCCTGGGAAGCCCTGGAGCTTGCCAGAGCAGAGCGTGCAAGTCTCTGGTCCCGTTTAAATGCCTCTCCCTTTTATCTGTGAATACGGGGCTGGAGCCACTCCTTATCTTCTCACCGTGCCCCTACAGGTCATGGCCTCAGTTCTCCAGTGGCTACTGGGGCAGTGGGTGCTGCGACGTCTGGTTTGGGACCTCTGTGGCTGCTTCCAGCCTGCTAGTAGAACGAACCTCTTTGTACCACCACATTCTTCTCTGGTGGTGCCCCTGAGGGCTCAGGCCTGAAGGCACTCCTTTGTCCTCAGTTGGGACAGGCAGCCTCCACTCTGGGAGCTCCCATCCCTCAGGGTGCCCAGGAGAGGCCATACTTTCAGGGTGGCACGGTGAATTCAGGGATTGGGATTGGTAGGTGGTCTTTCAGCCCCTTCTACCTTGGATTGGTTTACAGAACACCTGTCCTGCCTGTGCCAGCCTGGATCTCCGTGGGCACCCCCGGCACGCTGTGCTGAAGGTTGTCTGCCTCCTGCATAGGAGGATCTAGAGCGGACCTTGCCCTGGGCCCGTCTGCAGGCCACTGTTCTTATCCAGCGGGCCGAATGAGTGATTGCTAGTGGTAGGTTGACTGGAAGAAAGGAAGTCGCAGCTCCTGCTCATGGCTTCCTCAGCTCCCTGGGGTTGGAGGACTGTCATCAGTTGTCCCCAGTTTGGAGGAGGTTCAGGGTCCCGGTGGCTGGATGTGCTTTCGGAGGGACAGGGTTTTGGAGGAGTGTCATCAGTTGTCCCCAGTTAAAGTCCATTTGGAGGAGGTTCAGGGTCCCGGTGGCTGGATGTGCTTCCGGAGGGACAGGGTTCGAGGCAGGGATTTGCAGAAGGTGTGGACTGCATCCTTTCTTGGGAGGCTGTGGCACAAGGCAGCCAAACTTGGAACAAATCAAGACCCATCCACACTGCACCTCAGGGACCTCACCTCACCCCACATACATGTGCTTATGGGGGGCCGGGGGTGGTGGCTTCTGCCTGAAATCCCAGCGCTCTGGAACGCCAAGGCAGGAGGATCACGTTACTTCAGGAGTCTGAAACTAGCCTGGGCAACATAGGGAGACCCCATCTCTACAGAAAATAAAAGAAAATGAGCTAGGTGTGGTGGTGGTTGCCTGTAACCCCAGCTACTCAGGAGGCCGAGGCAGAAGGATCCCCAAGCCCAGGAGTTCAAGGCTGCAGTGAGTTATGGCCTCTGTACTCCAGTCTGGGTGACAGAGTGAGAGGCCTTATCTCTAATAAAAATAATAATAAAATGTGCTTTGGGGTCAGGTGTGGAGATCAGAGTTGGGGAGGTCATGAGGTAGGGGTCAGGATGTGGACAGTCACGGGCTGGTGGGTGTGGCAGCCGTGAGGGGTGGGTGGTGGGCTGGGAGACAGGGCCTGGGCAGGGCTTCTGCACTTCCGCTGCCCCTCTGGGTTCGAGGACTCTCCTTGACAAGGGCTGAGCTCTCAGGCACTGCGTTGGGCTCAGCTGCCTGCTGGGAGGCTGGGGAGAATGGACCTATGAGGCCTTGTTTGTCCTCTTCCCTGTCCAGCTCCTGTAGACCCCAGGCCTGGCTGTCTGCAGGGCCAGGAGCTGCAGCCACCAGCCTCCCAGGTGAGCCCCAGCTCCCGGCCCTGCACGCCTGCTCCTTTGCCCGTGTGGACTCGGCTCTGGTGTCTGCTTCCACACATGGACCCTCAGACCTTACACATCTGTTGTTTCCCTTGCAGGGCAGTGATGATAACATGAAATGAGGTGGGGTCACTCCTGTTTAAATATGAGGCTGGGGCCCAGGGAGGGGCAGGTGTGAAGTTGCTGAGGGCAGAGGGAGACCCACGGCTACCTGCCTCTGGTGACCAGCCTCATGTTCACTGCTCACTCCCTGCCATTCACCAGCTGCATGACCTTGAGCAGTGCCCTCAACTGTAAACAGAGGTGAAAACACTCCTTTACCAGCCTTTTTAGGGGCCACTCTTGTGTGAGGCCTTGAACCTCATTTCAGTTCCGTGGTGGTCTTGAGCCTCTGAATCTAGGCATGGCCCCTGCTGGGTCCTGGTCTCAAAGGCAGCATGATGGCCTCCCTGCTCAGGCCCTGCACCCAGGGGCCAATCCTGGGAGGCCCGCTGGCCATGGCTGGACCCTCTCTCAGGGAACCTGTCAGCATGGCCATCTCCACACCCAGGCTGGCTGGGAAGCGAGATACGAGGTGCTCAAAGGCCGTCTATGTCTGCAGGCAGTCCCGTCCCACACAGGCCAGGATTGTTGGGCCTCCTTAGCAGCCAAAGGAACTGAGGTCCAGAGCAGGGAATGTGTTGCCCAGTGTCAGAGGGTGGTCTGCTCTGGGGTCAGGTGTCTTGCCCTGGTCCTAAGCCACTCCAAGCCAAGGCATGTCTCTGGTCCCATTTCCCCTCTCAAGGTCTTGGGGTCCCTATTTCTGATGTGTGTGAAAGGAAGGCCTGTCCTCTGGGGTGGCCATGAGACTCAGTGGGAGGCGCTGCCACGCTTGAGCCAGGACTTGGCACCTGGCCAGCCCTTTTCTGTGTCATTGTACCTTGATGGGCTGTCAGTTCTGAAGAGAAGAAATACACTAGGAATCCTGTTCTCCTCCCCTTTCTCCCTGGCAGAGGGAAGTGACCACACCCCTATGGTGTGGACATACGGACGCTCCTCCACGAAGCAGCAAAGTTCTGTTGTTTCAGGAGGCTGTGGGCCCTGAGGATGTGGTAGTGACCTCACCAGAGGAGCTGGCAATTCCTAAGTGCTGCCTGGAGGCCTCTACAGAGACATAATGTTGGAGAACTTCTGCCTCATGGCAGTGCTGGGTGAGACCCCTCTGTCCCCACCAGTGCCCTTGAGGGTATGGGTGTTGGTCGGTGTGTGGCCTCCATCTCCGTAATGATGCTATTAGGACTGCATGTTTGTGTCCCCCCCAAAGTTTATATGTTGAAACCCTGACCCCCAGTAGGGTGGTATTAGGAGGTGGGGCCTTTGGGAGGTGACTAAGCTTAGGTGAGGTCGTGAGGGTGGTGCTCCCCGATGAGATTGAGTCCTTAAAAGGAAGGAACTAGAGTGAGGTCTCTTGCTGCTGTGTGATCATACGAGAAAATTGCCATCTTTCAAGCTGGGTGCAGTGGCTGACGCCTGTAATCCCAGCACTGGAAGGCCAAGGCATTAGGATTGCTTTGAGTCCAGGAGTTCAAGACCAGCCTAGGCATGATAAGACCTTATTGCTAAAAAGAAGAAATAAAATGGAAAACTGCCATCTGCAAATCAGAAATAGCCTTCAGCAGACATCAGACTGCCAGTGCCTTTGATATTGGACTTTCAGTCCCCAGATCTGTGAGAAATTAATTTCTGTTGTTTAAACCACCTAGCCTGTGGTATTTTGTTATAGCAATCCAAACTGAGACAGGCAGTAAGGAGAGGACAGAGGTTCCAGCCTGCTTCAGGTCCAGGCAGTTCTGCCATTGCCCTCGACTCCTCAGTTCCAGTCATGGGCCAGGCCCCTGGGGGACTTGGGATGAGTAAAACATGCACCTGTCATTAAGGTTCACCTGGTCTAGAAGGGGAGGCAGACCCACACTGCCCACCATGACCCGGACAGTGGTGATAAATACAGAGCACCTCATGGCCAGGGCCTGGGGGATTCCTACCCTGCCCTACCCAGTGCCAATAACAGAGGGACCCTGCAGAGTTGTGTACACAAGATAGCAGTTTAGTTCTTGCACACATACTAGTTGAGAAGGGAAATCAGGGCTGATGAAACAGCTCAACTGTCTGGCAGAGCCAGGCTCCTCCTGCCATGATGCAGTTTGGATGCTTGTCCCTTTCTAATCGTACATGGAAATTTGATCCCCAGTGTTGAAGGTGGGGCCTGATGGGAGATGTTCCTGTTATCGGGATGGATCCTTCATTAATAGCCTGGTGCCGTCTTTGTGGTAACAAGTGAGTTCTCACTTGATTAGTTTCTGTGAGAACTGTTTGTTAAAGAGAGCCTGGCACCTCCCTCCCGTCTTCCTCCTCTTGCTATGTGATGCTGCTCCCCTGTGCCTTCCATCATGAGTGGAAGCTCCCTGAATTCCCCACCAGAAGCAAATGCTGGCACCATGCTGCTTGTACAGCCTGCAGAACTGTGAGCCAAATAAACCTCTTTTCTTCATAAATTACTCAGCCTCAGGTGTTACTTTATAACCTTGCAAACAGACCAAGATATGCCATGTGTATTTCATGAAGGGAACCACAGGGTTGAAGATGTCACAGGACACCTGCTCCAGTCCCCTCCACTGTGTCTGCCTCCAGAAAGCACACCACTTCTGCTCATGTCCCTCGAGCCAGGTCCCAGTCATACGAGTACAACTAGTTGTAAAAGGTTTGGGGAGCCTGGTTGTAGAGGATGGGTGAGCGAGTATAGGACTCATCTAGCAGTGCAAGTCGGCCCAGGCCTTGTGCCTTCATGCCTGCTCCAGCAGTTATGTCTGATCTTCCCCCATCTCTGTAAGGAGAGAGCAGAGGTTCCAGCCTGCTTCAGGTCCAGGCAGTTCTGTGGGCTTCGTGGATGTGGCAGTGACTTCACCAGAGGAGCTGGCAATTCCTAAGCCCTCCCCAGAGGCTTCCACAGAGACATAATGTTGGAGAACTGCCTCATGGCAGGGCTGGGCACAGGGCGGATTTACGAGGTGAGCTTAGGGTGTGAGGGATGGAGGCAGGCAACAACCCTTAGTGGGCCTCACCTGTAGAATGGGGGTTCCATACTGAGAGGCAAGCCCGGACAACCTGGGATTGCTGACTCCCCTCCCATCAAATGCTCAGCTGTCAAAGTTGGGGGGAGACACAACATTGTCCCCACCCCAAACAGCAGAGCCACTGGAGAAGCAGGCCATAGAACAGGGAGCTCCACATTCCTCCCCACAGGAACTGCATTTGTTAGAGTGTGAAGTTCCAGCCTAAGGGTGCTCTCAAAAAACAGTGGAAGTGATGGAGAAAACTGTGGTCAATCAGTATATTTATTGGAGATCTATGCCAAAAATATTGTCTGGCTAGGGGTCATATAAGTATCACAGACACTTAACTTCAGGAACTATCCCTTCAAAGGAGCCCAAATTTGATTGGATTGACCTGTGAAGCAATTTATGTCCAGGGCAGCATTCAAAACAGTGGAGCAATCAGCTGACCATTAGTGGAGCTTAACGGCTGGATGTGGTCAGGGAAAACAAAGCGCTTTGCAACACTTTCAAACCACTGTCATCAGGGCGACTGACGGCATAACCAAGATGGTGCCCCTGAGGAGAAAAACTGAGATGCAGTCAGAGGCTCTGGGATGTGGGGTGAGAAATAGATGCCACTAAAATAGTCTAGCTGGTCCCTAAGCAAAGAAAGCAGAAAAATAGTCCAAGATCAGGCTGGCTAGTATCCAGAATTGCTACAATGGTTACCTAAGATGTCCACTCTTCAACAGGTAATTATGAGGCATGCAAAGAAACAGGAAAGTATGGCCGATACACTGGGGGAAAAGGCAGGTAATAGAAACTGCCTATGTAGAGCA